TTAGCAAAAAGAGGGGAAAGTCTGGAGTGGTGGTTGCATTGGACCACTAACCACAAGGCCAGCAGTTCTAAAACACCAGCCATTCTGCAGGACAAATAAAGGGTTACAGTCCCTGAAACCCACAGGAGCAACTCTACCCTGTTCCATAGAGTGGCTATGACTTGGCATCGACTAGATAGCAGTGAGTGTGTGTGTGTGTGGGGGGGGTGCTGGTGGGAGTGGGGTGAAGAGGTGAAAGGAAAGCCTAAGGGAGTCTTCGTGGCTTAGTTATGTGTTGGACCGCTAACTGCAAGTTCAGCAGTTCATAATCACTAGCAGCTCCTCTGGAAAAAGAAAGGGCTTTCTACTCCTGTGATGTAGAAAGTGGGCAGGTCTACCTATCCTATAGGGTCCATAGGAGTCAGCAACTATTTGATGGCAGTGAATTGGTTTTATTTGGAGAAGAAAGTGTGGGTGAACTTTTGGAAAAACTGGAGTCATGAAATATATTTTATTTTAAGGTTTTACAACATTTCTCATCATATGCACAGTGTATATTCAATTAATATAATTTAAATAATTGATGGCATCCACATATGTTGTGGTGTTAAGTGTCTTTTATTCCATTGGGGCTCATAGAAACTGTATGTACAATAGGACAAAACACTGCCCTGCCTGGTGCCATCTTCACTATTGTTCTCAAGTTTGAGCCCATCCGTGTAGCCACTTTGTCAATCCAGCTTGTTGGAGATCTTCCTCTTTTTCGCTGCCCCATTACTTGACCAGTCATCATGGTCTTCTCCAGTGACTAGTCTTCCTGACAAGACATCCTCAAAGGAGCATTCTGCTGGACTTTTTCCAAGACAGATTTTTGGGTTCATGGTACTTTCATTACTCTTCACCAGCATCATAATTCAAATGCACTGATTCTTCTTCCGTTTTTATTCAATGTCCAACTTTCACATAAATAGGAGCTGATTGAAAATACAATGGCTTGAGTCAGGTGCACCTTAGTGCTCAAAGTAAAACTCTTCCTTTGCAAAACTTCAAAGAGGTCTTGTGCAGCAAATTTACCCAATGGAATGTGCCTTTTGATCTCTTGACTGCTGCATCCATGAGCATTGATTGTGGATCCGAGCAAGATGAAATCCTTGACAACTACAATATGTTCTCTTCTTATTGTGATGTTACCTACTGATCCAGTTGTAAGGATTTTGCTCTTCTTTACATTGAGTTGTAATGTACATTGAAGGCTGCAATCCTTATTTTTCATCAGTAAGTGCTTCAAGTCCTCCTAAATTTCAACAAGCAAGGTTGTGTCATCTGCAAATGACAAGTTGTTAATACACTTGTTAATATTCCAGTCCTGATGTCACATTCTTGTTCTTATAAGCCAACTTCTCTGATGATTTACTCAGCACACAGATTGAACAAGTATGGTGAGAGAATATAACCTTGATGTATACCTTTCCTTATTTTCAAAACATGTCCTTGTTTTGGCCACAAACTTCCTTTTGATCCATGCACACGTTCTTCATGACCACAAATAAAAGTTGTGAAATTCCCCTTATTCACAAAGCTATCCACTGTTTGTTATGGTCCACACAGAATGGCTTTGCATAGTTAATAAAACTCAAGTAAATATTCTGATCTTCTCTACTTTCAGCTAAGATCCATCTGATGTCAGAAATCATATCCTTTGTTCCATGTCCTCTTCTGAATCTGGCCTAAACCGGGGGCAGCTTCTTATCAATGAACAGATGCAACATTTTTGGATAATCTTCAGCAAAATTCTACTTGTATGCTATATTAATGATATTATTCTATAATTTGAACATTCTGTCCGGTCACTTTTCTCTGTAATAAGTACAAATACGGATCTCTTTCAGTCATTTGTTTAAATGCCTATCTTCCAATTTATTGGCATACATGAGTGAGTGATTCCTGTGATCATTGTAAAAAGCTTTATTATGATCACAGGAATCAACTGATACTCCAAACAATGTGACAAAATAAGTACAATTTGCAATGATCATCTTGTTTTTAGATGTCATCTAGTTGATTCTGACTCATAGGACCCTATACACAACAGAATGAAACACCGCATGGTCCTGCACTGTCCTCAAAACTATTCCCAAGAGGCAGCCATTCAAACATCAAGGGGAGACAGAATTGTTTATAAATAAGAAAGGTATGCATCAGGGTTTTTCATTTATCATACTCATTCAAGCTACATGCTAAACAAAGAATCCAAGAAGCAAGACCATATGAAGAATGACAGATCCGTATTGGTCAAAGATCCCTTATCCATTGGAATGATATTCAGATGACACAACCTGGTTTGCTGAAAGTGATATTGTTTCCTTACTAGATCTAATCAGCATAATGTCTTCAATGTAATGAACCAGTGTGACGTTTTGTGGAAGGGAAAGGAAATTAAGAACTTTGCAAACTAAATAATGAGAAAGTACTCAAAAGTTGAAATAACACTGCGGGAGGATGATAACGGTTTGTTTTCCTTGACAGTGTCTCTTATTACTTACATTAATTGTTTATGTTGGCTTACTTAACAGAATCCTATGTGAACTTGAATATTTAAAAATCTAGAGATGCCAGAATAATGCATATCAATCATACCAGTCAAATATAGCATATCAGCCAGAAAAGGATATCTTCAGGACACTAAAGCCCTTAGAAGACTTTGAAAAGTACTGGTCTTCACAGATAAAACTAACTGCTAAGTATAATAATTAATTATTTCCCAAGTTTCCCCCCTGCCTTCTCCTTTTCTGGTACCATGAGTTTCTCATCTCAAATTAGTGTTTTTAACGTATTATACTGTGGTAATTACACAATTTCATGTCAACTTGATACATAAGAATGAAGTGTACCAGGGGTCTTCAAACTTTTTAAACAGGGGGGCAAGGTCACTGTCCCTCAGACCCGTTGGAGAGCCAGAATGTAGTTTAAAAGAAAAACTATGAACAAATTCCTATGCACACTGACCATATCTTATTTTGAAGTAAAAAAACAAATGGGGCAAAAACACCCGGCCGGCCGGATAAATGTCCTCGGTGGGCCTCATGTGGCCTGAGAGCTGTAGTTCTAATCTCTCAATCAAGTCACAGCCTGTCAATCCGTCCTTGTGGGTGTGGCCTTCTCATGAGGATTCTGGGACTTCCTCTCTTCCTCCCTGGAAGGAGGTCACACTCTCTCTGTTTCACATTCTTATTGGCAAGCCACATGGAGCCACTCCAATGGCAACCACAGCCCTGGAGATGCATCCTCTGTCATTGGACCCATAGGACTTTGTACCCACCAGCCTGTGATTTTCCTGGTCAGCTCCATGATTCATGGGCTAATATAGGATGTGTGGGCTAATATCAAACATATGGACTAGATCTGGACTGGTCTGGGATGTTTTCTCAATATAAAATTGCTCTTTGAAATAAACATCTTTCCTATACACAAATGAGTGGCTCTGGATTTGTTTCTCTAGTCAACCCAGCCTAACTCATACCATATATACTCAAGTATAAGCCGACCTGAATATCAGCCAAGGCACCTACTTTTACCACAAAAATGTGCTGAAAAATTTGCCTTATACATGAGTATATATAGTATACCTTCCTAAAACACTGGATTCTTTTTAATCAGTGTATCCATTCCTCGTCTGTCTTCTCCCGGGTTTTACTCTGACAAATACTTAATTTACCAGATTAATCTAGTGTTTCTATGTTTTTAATCTTGCAGCACTATGTAAAGACCTCTATGTATATATATATCTCTCTATCTCATTTCAAATCAATTAGTCTTTAGCCCAGTTCTAATTAGAAAATCAACACTACTCATATATGTTTTACTTAAAAACCCATACCTAGCACACAGTAGGTGCTCAATAAGATCATGTAATATTGAAGATATACATGAGCATGTCATTGTTATTGAGTTCATGTGTTTATGATGATGCAACTTTAATATTTTAAAGGTTTAATATTTTAAATTAGAGAAATATTACTTTTACTTTTCAAGTATTTTTGTTTACTTGTTTTTGTACTTTAGGGCAGTTCTTTTAGAGACCCAAGATAAGTTCATCATCTGAACTATCTCCCATAACTCAAGTTGTATCCAAACAAATACTGGACTCTAATGTAAGCAATAACTCAAGGAAAGGATTCACTCCGTAGAACAATCAACATACAAAATTAAAAGAGTATCATTTTTCAACAGAACAAACCTCAGACAGTAGGAATAGATAGGGAAGAAGACCAATGGAAATGGTGACACCGGAAAGAAGTGGGAAGACACCTATTACATTGTGAGGACAATAATCAATGTCATGAAATAAATTGTGTGTGAATTGTTGAATAGGAAAATATTTTGCTCTTTAAAATTTCACTCAAATCACAATAAAAGCAAAATTCTTCAGTAATGAGGAAAGTACTTTTAGGAAAAATATTTAGCAGAGTGTTCAATTAAAAACACCGATTTACACATTCAGGACTATGAGCACCTGCATTTGCTTTGCTTTTCTCATCATAAGGCTGACAAACAAGAGAGGCATTTTCTTTTACGTCCATAACCTTAGACAACATACACAGATTCCCAGGACCAAGAACTACAACAACAACCAAAATTAATGAGACATGTAAGTTACCAGGTGTGCTGAATCCAATAAAAAGCTTTGAGATAATGCTCATTTTGGCCAGTGGCCAACACAACAAATTCACACACACACATACACAATAGTACCCTTCAAACACACACACACACACACACACACAACAGTACCCTAAAAGGTATTCCTTGCAAGGAAATGGCAAATTTTTAAAAATCACTTCTATTTGATATGAATTTCTGAGGTAAAAATTGTTTTCAAGAATACCCAAAACATTCAATATTATAACCTCTAGTAGTGCTTGCTTTAAAAGCTCTGAAGGGCCACACAGATCAATATTGGTTTATGTAATATGCTGGGCAATAGGGACAGGCCAAACGCATCATCAATTGGATTTTATTACCTGTTGGTGTTATCAGTCCTGGTGATAAGAGGCCTGGAACTGCATGGGGCAGGAGGCGAGTATTGTCCTGCAACACTCCTAAAGAACGCTTAGGGGGTCTTCCAGGTCTTGAACTATTATAAAAGAGGCAAACAGACAAAAATAATCAAGTTAAAATATGCTCTATTTTCAGAAATACCATTACTTGCTACATTTGCCATCTAAATCTTAATTCGTTTCTACTAAATTTCCGAACGTAGTAATAATCTTTAAACCCATAAGAAATCAATTTTAGTTTGGATTCAACTTACAAGCCAGCGCTTTATAATACAGTTTAACTGTTTTGACAAAATCCCACTTACACTAAGAATTATAAATGATCTCTAGCTACAACTGAGATCTGAGATAGCAAATTATAGCATAAAGAGTGGATAGAATATGAAGTGATTAACCCTCTGCTGTGCATGCCAGCGGTAAAGAGACAAGAGCTGAGAGTTAAACAATAAAGTATGATGTTTGCTAACATTTTCACATCCGCCCAGAAACCACGAAGACCAAAGAATGTTTATTCTCAATTGTTAGTTTGTTTTTATTCCCATTTCCTAAACTCGGTTGTATAGCAAGAAATATCTTTTCTCGAAGTAACTATACTAACAATCAAGTCAAGTTTGCAATGTAGGCTGTTTTTTTCTCCCAGATTGATCACTGTTGATGACTGAACGAGTTGAAGTAAAACTTAAACAGCTAAATCTTTTCCACTTACACATTTTTTCACACTACTCTACGCAGGTTAGAACTTGCAATTGCAAAAGGTAATTCATAACTCAATGATATAAAAAGATGGTATTTTCTACCTCCCTCTTGTGCCTTAATACACTTAGTGTACTGGATACATCATTTGGAAGCTATCACCTCAAAAATAAAATAAGTCAGGTATCAAAGACCCAAAATAAAACAAAGAAAGCATCTCAATGGGAATGTGGAGGGGGTCAGAGTGCAGATCCAAAGCCCATCAGTAGTCAATTACTGTCAGAAGGGCCACAAGGAAGAGACCAGTCAGGGTGCAGTATGGCACTGACGAAACACACAACCTTCCTCTAGTTCTGTAATGCTTTGTCCCCTCCGCCCCCACTATCATGACTCCAATTATAGCTGACAAATTTGGCTAGACTAGAACATGTACACTGGTACATATAAGAGCTCACAACACAGGGAATGCAAAACAGATAAACCCCTTAGGACCAATAAGGAGAGCAGCCATACTAGGAAGGTACGGGAAGTGGGGTGTAAGGGAATCGGAACACAATAATCGATGTACAGCCCCCCTCCCAAGAAAAGTGGGTGTAAGGAGACAGCGGTCGGTGTAAGACATGAACAAAAAAAGAAAAGAATTTATAAATTAACAAGGGAATATAGGGGAGAGAGGGAAGAGAAAAATGAGGAGCTGATACCAAGGGCTCAAATAGAAAGAAAATGTTTTGAAAAAGATGATGACAACATATGCATGGATGTGTTTGACACAATGGGTATCTGTATGGATTGTGATAAGAGCTGTAAGAGCCCCCAATAAAATAAAAACCAAAACAAAACATTAGGATGAAGCCATTCCCATCATCCAAAATTTCAAATATTACTTTCTAATGCTGCCTAAAATATTACTGCTGATTTTACTAGAAATATATTTTACAGAGCAAAATAGTGGGGGTTTTGACAAAATATTGCAAGACGCTATATTGAACAATAAAGCTGCAAAAAAAAACATTTACAAAATGATGCTTGGTTTACAAACAAATTAAATCTCACTTTATCAACTCTGCAGCAGCAAAGCGCTACATCAATGTAAAACAAACTCTCCTTTTAAATGAATACAACTGCTAGCAACCTAACAGAGGTATTATTACCCAGTTCAGTTTTCATTCACTGTGATAGTGATATTTTCTTTCATTGTACATCAATATTATACAGCAGCCTAGCAGAAAGATTCTTTTTTGCTCATTCAATGTTTCAACTTTATAAACTGTCTCTGTTTAACCTTTTTTTACTCAATTATGAGACATTATGTATTTTACTTAATTCAATTTTATTATACTTTGTGTCTTTATCCAGCTATGGGATTTTCTAATTCTTTCAGTCCACAGATGGCAGTTTTCCTTAGTTGGGTTGCCACAGTAATTAGGGCAGTGGGTTCAAATATTTCAACAATTGTGAATATGATGTAAAAACAGGCAGTGTTTCATTCTGTGGTACATAGGGTTATTAGGTTGGATGGACTCAACAGGACCTGACAATAACAAAAACTCTTTTAAGGGATAATACTAGGAGAAATCTGCTATTTACTTCTTCATATCAAAACAGAGGAATGAAAGGTAATACAAAACTCATGCATAGCCACGAAGTTAATTAGAACAACTAGAGGCCTTATAGGATGAAATAGAACTGCTTCTGTAGTTTTCCAAGGCTATACATTTTCATGCAAGCAGAAAACCTCATTTTTCTTTCAAAGAGGGTTCAAACTTCTGACTTTGTGATTAGCAGTCCAACGGATAACCGTCTACACCACCCGGCCTCCTCATAGAATATGACAGATGCACACAATGTAATATTATGCAACCATAAATAACACTGATGAGTCTGTGAAGCATATTATAACATGGATGGATCTGGCGTATAGACTGATAAATGAAATAAAGCAATTATATAAAGACACATATTGTATGATTGAATTTTCACAAGAGTACAAGAATAGATATTTATAAAGAGACCATGTTTATTAATAAGGGGAGAGGTTGCTATCCAAATTATAGGTACTTGTTATTTTGGGTAAAAGAGAAATGTAGCACGGAACGTGGGTATAATAAGCATAACTGGACCAAAGTAAGCAATGAAACAATGAAGTGGACAAGAGAAGAAAAATGCTTGTATTAAGAATAAATATATATATATATATAAAACAACACCAACAATAACAAAAGCCTACATGTATTACCACACACACACATATTTGTGTATACACACACACACACACACACACACACACATATATATTCATGGGTAGTTATTTTAAAAACCTCCGAACTCACTACCATCAAGTCTATAGGACATGGTAGAATTGCTCCTGTGAGTTTCTGAGACTGTAATCCTATAAAGAGGTAGAAAGCCTCATTTTTCTCCTTATCTTTCTACTGTTGAGTGGATGGTGGTTTTGAACTGCAAACTTTGAAGGTAGAAACCCAACACATAATGACTATACCACCAGAGCTCCTACACATAGTATAGGTGCATACATATATGCACAAGCGTAGTATAGGTGCATACATATATGCACATGCAATGAAGTATTTATTTGTACATGTATATACAGGTATGTGTGAGCACACACATATATTCATGGAGGACAAACTCATGGATACTTCTGCAACATAATCAAACATTTTGTAAGATTAGTTCTGAGTTTTAATTCTTAGGACCTTAGTCTTATGGGACAACTCCGTCAACTGGCATAATATGGTACAAAAGTTCATGTTATACATCCTCATGAGGTGAGTAGCACTTAAAAGCTGTGACTGGCCATTTAAGTGCAACAATTAGTCTCTACTCATCAGGAGCAAAATAGAAAGTGAGACACAAAAGTCTCAGAGAAGAAATGAGTCTACAGGGCCAAAAACCTACATTAATCACAATCTCATCTACGCAGAGTTGCAATCATATGGCATACTAGCCATTCTGGTAAGAGCCCTAATATATGGGCCCTGATAGAATGACAGAAAATATAGAACATAACTTAAGTTCTTAAAATGTCAGACTTAATTCATTAGTAGAGACTATAGGACTTGCTGAGATTATTGCCCTGAGATACTCTTTAAATGTTTAACCAAAATTATCATCTAATGTCAACTTTTGCAAAATTGATTGGCACACAAAATAAAAGGTAGTACCCACAAGTACAATACTCCATTAGAAAAAAAAATCTCTATTATTCCAAAAGGCCAATGATGACTCTATAGCAAAGAAGAGAAGACAAGTGCTTATCTCTAAGTGTTCCCACTACTCCCACCTTGCATGAGTCAAAGAAGAACCAAATATCTGTCTGAAGTCACTCAGGATTTCACCAGTACCCATACTGGTGAACTGTGGCCAGAGTTCCTTGCCCTTGACCAGCAGTGACACTCTTCCTTCCCTCCCTGCTACTCTTCCACCATTGTATTAACAGGGGATGCCCATGGACTGTGCACAAAATGTCAGTTTCTCACAGAATTGGCAGGGACCACTCCTGTGAATAATACATCATACAGGGATCATATTCAGGGTAAGCAGTGGAAACTCCCATGGGTGGTATACAGTATTCCAATACCTTCTATGGTTAGCATTGTGCATTTCCACCGATAAGGTACTGATTAGACATATACACACTCAGTGAGCCACACTTCCCTCATCTCCACCCCCTAATAATTGTTTCTTCTTTTCCTCCTTTTATTAGTTTTATTATTTTCTTCTTCTTCCTTTGTTTTTTTATTAATTCAGCTTAAGACATATATCAATTTATTCCATATTTCAATCACCCCCGGTAGAATTGTGCATTTGCTACCAAAGTCATCACCCCTTCACCCCACTGTCACCTCAGTGGCATCCCCATCCCCCAAAACCTTATTCCACTTGCTGACTCTATAGGTTCATCAGTCCTGGTTTTGTACCGCAACTTCAAGATGCTAACCCCCAATGACATAACACTCCCAAGATACCCCCTAATATGTACTATCAAAAACCAAACAAAGCACTACAACCCAACAAACATAAGATTTTGGAAACAAGATCAGGTCCAGCATGCATTCTAGGGGGAATCTGCTCACAAGTTGTAACTGTTCAAGTCAGATTAATGCCTTTGACTTTCTATAATTGACTTATCAATGCACTCATTTAGTGACCACTTTTTCCCCCTCAATTGTGGATAGAGGGAGTTCACTGGAGGTTTATTTCCTGTATAATTCCACCAATGAATCTTGGGCTCCCACTGTCATCCATGACCTTCTGCAAACCAGATTCTCAGACTTTAGGCTCTCCCTACAACTTCAAATTGTGTGTTTCATGTTCATTCAGTGGTTGATGACGGTGTGCTTCTTCCATGTGAACTTAATTG